TCTCAGTTTCTAAAGTTCTTCCTTCTAACACCGTCAACTTTAACAATCTCTTTGAAATTCTCGTTTACGACTCAATTTTTTCACGCATTCACTCCAAATTTTATCACACTTAATAACATGTACATCGCAGCATTGATACACTCAGAAGATCACATCGATCACTTAATCGAATGAAAATTTCCGGTTTTAAACGTATCACAAGCACATAACAGGTAGCAGCATTCTGAAACTATTGTACTAACGACTATTCCGAGCACCTTCGTTATGATTATGATGATAAGCACCCAATTAACACAATTCTTTGCTGCTAATCACTACTACTATCATTTCTGTGCGAATTGTAGCCATCTCTGAGCCCCAAAAGCCGACCGTTGAAACAACGTCGATATCGATCCAAGAAGGAACTAGCGTTACGATAGCTTGTTCGATACAAGGCGCGTCTGGAGAGGAGTTGCATTGGCGTAGAGCCGATGATCAGTACATGAGTTTTGATGCATCCGATGAGAACGGTATACTGACCATTTCCAATGTGAAAGTATTTGACGCTGCCGAGTACATCTGCTATACGTATGACCGAATGACCGGTGAACGAATTGACTCGGAACCGGTCAATCTTGTAGTAACACCTTCAGACGAGGAAAGAAGTATGTTTGTTGTTGCGCTTCTTCTCTTCCTCTCACCTCAGATAATTCCTTTTGCCACTGAATTCTCGATTTTTTCTTCGATTTCTTCGGTTAAACTTCCATTCACAGTTATTTCTATTCAACACGTTTCCGGTGCGCATATGAAAACCTTTTGGTTCATTTTATCTCACTTACGTTCCTCTATTCACCGGATTTTCCTCTTCAATTTCCGTTTCGATTCCATTTTAAGTTTCACTAGATCATATTGCCATTTTTTTAAAAATTAACTGTTTGGGTTTCGGTGTAATAATACAAGCAAAAAAGCCACTAATACCATGTGTATGTTTGTTTGTGAAATTACTTAACAACCTATTATCATAACACTTAACACCATATGATAACTTATAATAACCAATGTTTTTCAGATTGATAATTTTATCATTCACGTGCAATTGTATAGGAATGAATTTAAGCACCTCACCAAATTAACACTTTTCCGATGGCATTTATTGATAACAAATGGATTTTTATCTGAAATTCATGCATGCGTTGCACAAACATTCACGAAATTACAGCCGAAGAAGATTTGTTCGGTGAGGACCGAGAGCGACCACAACCTGAACCTGATCAGGAACCGGAGCCTGAGCCTGAACGTGAACTTCCATTGGAACCAGCTGTAGAACCGAAACCAACGATTGAGAAGTCAACCGTGACAGTTGATCAGGGTGAGACGATCACCCTGAAATGTTCCATTCCGGTTCGAGACAGTGAGACGATTCTACATTGGCGCCGCGCTGACGGTCAATCGATGGGATGGCATATTACCGAGACTGATGGCACACTGACAATCGAGAACATTCAACCGTCGGATGCCGGGGCGTATATCTGCTCGGCTGAAGATACGGAAACCTATGAAATAGTTGACTCAGAACCAGCTCACATCACTGTTCTGCCACTAACACAACAACCCAGTACGTTTTCAATTTCACTTAACACTTATATTTACTAACCGTTCGTTCATAATCATCTGTTCATTCACTCATCGTCATGTTCATTGTTCTGAATTGGAACTTTCAAAATTATATTTCACAACTTTTTTTTGGCTCTAATCTAACCGGGAGTGAAATCGCAATTGACACATCGATCACTTCATTCAGTCAACCAATTTTGCACCATCACCACCTCATACACACCCCGCAATATCTCCCGAATATCATTCACGCATCTTCAAAAAGCTTAATATCACTAC